TGTTGTGAGCCAACCATAAAATTATTTTTGTTGCTACTTCATAACTGTAATGTTGCTACTGTTATGAATCGATGCACATGGTGGTTGTTCCTATGACTCTAGATCAGTGGTTCTCAACCTTGGCTGCACATTAGAATCACCTGGGAATCTTTTTTAAATCCTGATTTCTGGGCCTCATCCTCCGGAAATTCTGTTTCTTTGTTACTAATGTTGTGGCCCCACCCCATAACAAAGAAACAGAATTTCCGGAGGATGAGGCCCAGAAATCAGGATTTTAAAAAGATTCCCAGGTGATTCTAATGTGCAGCCAAGGTTGAGAACCACTGCTATAAAAGAACCGCAGGCCTCAAAGGACAAGCTTCCATTTAGTTTGCCCCAAGTTAAATACCTTGGCCATCTCCTATCAAAAGGTGGGCTACTGATGAACTCTGAAAGAATCAGAGGGATCCTATCCTTTCCTCCTCCAAAAACAAAACAGCTTAGAGGATTCCTGGGTCTGACTGGATACTGTCACAATGGGGTTCCAAGCTTTTTATTAACGACCCGACCTCTATATGTCTTCTCAAAATCAGATCAGCCCGATCCAATTCAGTGGAACCCTGGAGGGAAACAAGTTGTGAAAGCTCTAAAGGAAGAATTTTCCAAAGCTGCCACTTTGGGACACTCTAATTATAAACGTCCTTTCTTTTTTAGACATGAAAATAAAGGAAATGTTTTAGGAGTTCTAACTCAGAAACATAGAGATCATCATAGACCTATAGGATGTTACAGTCAGCAATTAGACTCAGTAGCATAAGGACCATCTCTGCTACAGCCGTGCTGTGCAAAAAAAACAGATGGGCTGCTGATTAACTCTGAGAGACTCAGAGTTATGGGCTCTACTTTAACTATTTATGTTCCTCATTCTGTTGAATCTTGAGTGGTTACTCTTTTTTGAGAATAAAAATGGAAAGAATCAGACCCAGGTGGCTGCATTCATTGTACTTGGTACAACACTGGTGGTGAAAAATTCAGTACAAGTTCATTTATTCAGCATTATTTGTTACTATGTTCCAGGAGCTGTTCTAAGCACTTAGGAAAATACATATACGGTTCATATATTCTTTCCACCAACCCTTAGAGGTAGAGACTATTATTACCCCCATTTTACAGGTGGGGACACTGAGGTATCAAGACTAACATTAGGTCACTTGCCAGAGGACACAGTTAATATAGAGTCTGGAAGCTGGTTTCAGAGCCTCTACATTGAAACCTAATCTAAGCCCTAGCTGGTTTGGCTCAACGGATAGAGCGTCAGCCTGCGGACTGAAGGGTCCCGGGTTTGCTTCCTGTCAAGGGAATGTCCCTGGGTTGCGGGCACATCCCCAGTAGGGGGCGTGCAGGAGGCAGCTGAATCGATGTTTCTCTCTCATCGATGTTTCTAACTCTCTATCCCTCTCCCTTCCTCTCTGTAAAAAATCAATAAAATATATTAAAAAAAAAAAAAGAAACCTAATCTAAGGCAATCAGGGCCTCCTTTAGTGGAGAAACCGTACTTTTAGGAGTGGGTTAGTGGCATCTGAACATCATATGCAGGGAAGGATTTGCACATGGGTGGGGGGTAGGAGGGAGGGGCAGCTTCTTGCTGGTAGAAAGGGGAGGCCCATTGCTGACCCTGCGGTTGAAGAGTTGCAAGGATTTCCCAAGTGTAGGGTGGGCTCTCTTAAGCACAGTTTAACAGCCAGAGAAAGAAATGACAAATTTATCTGTTTTATTTCTTCCATCAATAGGATATGTTTTTGTTAAATGAATGAATGTTTGTTAAATGAACCAAGCACATTGAGGCTGGATTTCAGCTAACCAATACCAAGCTGATGGCATAATAGAGAAGTCATTTCTCTACTTCCTGTTTTTCAGGGTCCAAAACATGTGTTGTGGGCATCTCCCACATAGAAGCATTTGTAGAAACAGTGCTTGAGGCTAAAGATTGGCAAGTGGAATGCTACTGTTGGGCCCGAGGCTTCTGGCTTTGCAGTTTGGGGTGCTCCTTCTGCACGGTCTGTGGTCACCAGCAAGCCCCCAAGCCGAAGTTCACAGCCCACTGTTAGCATGCTTTAGGCCTCAGGGCCTGCAGATCCCTTTGTGTAGATTCTCCCTGGTCCTGAAGGCCAATCTAATGAATACTTTTTCCTGTGTTGATATTTTAAATCTCCAAATTATTTTTTACCATTTTATTTATGGTAAGCGAAACCCTTTTTTAGGGGATATAAAAAAATCAGTAAGTACTTCACTCTCTCTGTAGCCTCCGAGTGCAGCTCCCCAGCTGCTCACGCCTGAGCTGCAGGTTGAGGAGGAAAATGCCACATGAGAAAAAAGTGCCCTTTCCCTGTCTTCACCTGGCCCAAGTTCATGTCCACAGCCTTCCTCATCCGTTTCCCCCATGAGGAGGGGAGGGCCTGTTGCAGGATGTTCCTCCTCACCCTGTCCAGGGAACCTGGAGAGCTGCCCCGAGCCCAGGCCCTGCTTCCACTCGAGGCCTCAGAGCCTGCTCCGAGCTGAGCTTCAGTGCCCGGGTCTGGTCGGCTGGATAGATTCAGGGAGGAGGGGGTAAGACCAAGACTTTGTCTCATAGGAAATGCTGAACTTGCATAGCCAGAAACTTTTCTGGAAGAAAGGGTTTTTTGAGCCACATGCTAGCCAGACAAAGGACCAGGCCCCAGGACACGCAGTTGGAACCACCAACAGCAGGCCTGGATGGAGAAGACACGGCCGCTGTCCTAGAGCAGAGGGCTTTTTTATATATTACTAGAGGCCCAGTGCATGAAATTCATGCACGGGAGGGGGGAGTGTCCCTCAGCCCGGCCTGTACCCTCTCTAGTATGGGACCCCTTGAGGTGCTCCCTCTCACAATCCGGGACCGCTGGCTCCTAACCACTCTCCTGCCTGCCAGCCTGATCCCACGCCGATCTGATCCCCTTAACTGCCCTCCCCTGTCAGCCTGATCCCCCTAACTGCTTTCCCCTGCCAGCCTGATCCCACGCCGATCTGATCCCCTTAACTGCCCTCCCCTGTCAGCCTGATCCCCCTAACTGCTTTCCCCTGCCAGCCTGATCACCCTTAACTGCCTCTGCCTTGGCCCCACCACCATGGTTTTGTCCGGAAAGACATCTGGTCTAATTAGCATATTGCCCTTTTATTAGTATAGATGTTTGGGGGTAAAAATACGGAAGTCGTTTTGAAAGACTTGACACTGGCTCTAGAGGAGGGAAAGGTGAGGTGGGGAAGTTCTAGGATGGTGCACTGTTCCTGAGGGAGAAGCATTCATTCACTGGGGATTGGTGTGGGCACCGCAGCCGGCGGGCTGCTCCTTCTGGGTCGCCATCCTACGTTGAGGCAGAGCTCCCACATCCACTCAGGACCCCGAGCCGACTTTTGTTTGTTGGCCCACAGCTACCAACTGGGGAATGACTCTTGTTTTCCTCCCGTCTCTGGCCTGCTGTAACTTAATTTAGGACATCTTAGACGTTTTTCTTGTCAGAAGTTTTTCAGCTTTCATTTCTGCTTTCCCACACTTGGGGTACGTTTTCCCCCCGCTTTCTGTTCTGTAAAAGTTTTGGGGTTTTACAAATGAAGGTTGTGGGAGGCAGTGCTGGAGAGCAGGGAGGCCCTGTCTTTGACCTGGTACTGACAGAGCGTGTTCAGTTAATGGTGTCTCAGGCTCTGCACTTAGGATTGGCGCGTTTTTCCGTATGTATATTTTACCCCAACGACAACAGTATCTTGTGATTATTACGAGAGGCATAGCAGTTCATCTGTTACCAAGGAAGAATACAAGAAAAGAAGGCGATGGAAGAAGAGGCTCATTTTTTTAAATCCTCACCCGAGGATATGTTTTTATTGATTTTAGAGGAAGAGGAAGAGAGAGGGAGTGAGACATCTATTGCCACCTGTATGCACCCCAACCAGGGATTGAACCCACCACCTTGGTTCAGATGCTCCAACCAACTGAGCCACCCGGCCAAAGCCTAATTTGTCTTAATTGCTGTGAAAATGGGGAGTCCAAGGTGAAAGTGTACACTGACTCAATAATTTTACTTTTGGCATTTATCTTAAAGAAACAAAGATGTGTACAAAGTTTTAGCAGTATCACAGTAGTGAAAAATTGCAAACAATTAGATGGTGAGTAGTAGATGGACTATTATTTTGCACAACCAAAAATGGAATATTATTTTGCCACTAAAAAGTATGCCATAGATGTTTTTTTATTAAAGCATAGTGCAATCCCATTTTTTATAAAAAGCATAGTATATATATTTTACATATATGCATAGAAAATAATCAGAAGTATACCCTAATATTAACAATGGATTATACCGAAGGCACAGAATTATGGATGATTCTTATTTCCCTGTCTATTTAAGTTTTTTCTTCTAACGAGCACACATTTCTGTGCGACACCGTAAGAGAGGAAATGCGTGTGTAGGCAACAGTTTACCAGTGGTCGGCAAACTCATTAGTCAACAGAGACAAATAGCAACAGTACAACGATTGAAATTTCTTTTGAGAGCCAAATTTTTTAAACTTAAACTATATAGGTAGGTACATTGTTATTCACTTAATTAGGGTACTCCTCAGGCTTAGGAAGAGCCACACTCCAGGGGCCAAAGAGCCGCATGTGGCTCGAGAGCCGCAGTTTGCCGACCACGGGTTAGGCAATTAGCCGCCTCACTCCTCACCAGGGTAGTCTGCCCTGCCACATCCTCACCTGATCTAGGGGAGACCAGCTCTCTAACGATTCTGCCTTTACAGACCGAGAAGTCAGCAGGGACCCCAGGAGCATGTTCAAATACGGCCTCTGAAGTTCAGAGATCCAAGAGGATCTCCATTCAACTTTCCTGGTGCTCACACCACATCGGTAAAGGGGTGGCCGCTCCTCGTTCATGGGTCCCTCTGCAATGAAGAGCTGGGAGAACAGTTTTGCCTCCACTTAGGGTTTCACAGAGGTTTTCTTTCTTTTTTTTCTTTTTTAATCTTTCACAGAGATTTTCTTTAGAGATGGAGTTAATTCATTTTCCAGGACTCGGCTCACCTCTTCCACTTCATTTGAGGAATCCCTAGTGTCTATACAACTTTTCAGCCACATTATAGAACTCAGTGGAAGGCAGTTTTTCTCTTATTTCATGATCTTCTCAGGGTCCTGCGTGCAGTGGTGGGTTTCTCAAGAAATGACTTGCTCCCTTGCGGTTGGAGACACAGAACCGCATGCTGAGCCAGAGGCCTCTAGAAGGACGATCTGAAGGGTGTGGAGGAGGGGCCCAGCCCAGCCGTGACTCTGATCAAGCCTCCCCCCTCCCTGGACCTCAGCCTCCTCTGCAAAATGGCCAGGGAGGAGGTCTGGACCAAGTGATGGGGAGGCCCTCACAGCTCTGACAGCCGGTGCTGAGAGCACAGCCGGCCCTTCCCCCCAATACGTGTGCGCGAAAGTATTGCAACCCTTACGGAAGGTAGATGTACAGTTTTGTTTTGTGTCAATTAAAGACAAAGAAAAAGTAACCCCCCACCCCTCCACCCAACGAAAGTAATAATAACGAGAATGAATACATAAAGAAGGCGGAAAAAACCGAAGGGAAGGGCTGTTGCTCCCCTTGTAAGGGGAGTTCTCAGTGGGAAGTCTTGTAGTGGCTGTTGCGCAGGGCCCCTCACCGTCTTAGACGTATCTCTCTGAAGGGCTGGGCTTGCCTGCGGGCCTGACCAGGGGCCTGAAAGAGAGACAACCATCATTTCGGCAAGCGCAGTGCAGTAGCATCCTGTCCACCCGCCCTCCCTGGCCTCCCAGCCTTGTCAGGGTCTGAGGACTGTCCTTGGGACACAGCACAGGACCGGCGGAGTGACCTCAGCAACCTACCAAGTGCCTGACTTGTGCCACCTTGTTTGTTTAACCCGCAGCAAACTGAGGGGCAGGCACTGGTAATGAGGGCTAGAGAGCGTGCGTGCCCAAGGGCACAGAACTAGCAGGTGGTGGAGCCAGGATCTGAACACAGGACCTCTGTCAAAGATCCCCATGGAGGTGAGAGAAGGAAGCTGATAATCAAATCAGCAGTTGACCTGATTCTCAGCCCCCGAGAGGGTCACAGGGGAGGACGTGAGCAAACCACCATCATCAGCCGAGTGGAGCTACTTTATTTAAAAGTCCCCTTGACCCCCAACAGTCTTCAGAGGGATCCCCTCTTGGGTCCCTCCCCGCGCCATCACCTGAAGACCCCCATGTGCAGAACAACATCCCATGTCACCTGCCGCTGTCCCAGCTGTTGCACAGTGGACGTGTTTGCCTCAACTCAACCCCTCTAGCATGCTGTCTCCTGGGCTGTGTGTCTAACCTTCAACGCTGGCAATCCCAATAAAGTTTTCAAATGCATTTTTTAAAAAATAAAAAAATAAGTCCCCTTGATAACCACACTAGAAATGTGTGTGAATTCAGTACTGGGCTAGGGCCCCCCGTCTGCACATGCCCTGCTCCAAAACTTCTGCCCACAGTCATCACTGTGTGTGTTCACTCAGGCGTGTGGACTCCTCAGTTACGTTTCATCTGCACAGCGTTGTGTTTCAGGGCCGAGTTTTACTCTCAGCTACTCATTTCAACACGGGAATTTTCAGAAAGAGAAAAGGGATGATTCTCCTCCAAAAGCTCCCAACTGAACCCCAAGGATTGAGCTTGCTAAAATTCTCTGTTTTTAAAGTCTTTATCCTCTTAGTTTATCACCTACAATATATGCACTGAAAATTCATTACACTTCCGTGGTTAGAAATAAGGATGTGTAAGATCTTGAACTGGCATCCCTGCAGAGAAATATCAAGGAGTGCGAAGCGCACGCCCCAGGTTTAAAGTCTGAAATGCTTTCATTTACTGAAAGGAACCGGTGAATGTGGTTGGTTTTCCTTAACCCCCTGCTTTCGTAGCCCCCAAGCACAGGAAGGAGCCGGCGCTGCTACTTGCTGGCATGATGGCCTTGAACAAGTCACTGCGTGGTGGGCCTCAGCTTCCCCATCGTAAAACAGTGGTCACAGTGACTGCTTTAAAAGTTGTTATGAAACCTGAAATTTAAATATGTCTACATATACAGGGTGTCCCCCCAAATGTATACACACTTTGAATAATTACTAATCCCCGTGGGTTAAATTTGAGGAGAAACATGGGAATTAATAATTATTCAAAGTGTGTGCACACTTCTGGGAGGACACCCAATATACGTATACGGCAAGTCCTGAGTACACTGGAGGCTTTCATCCGACGGTGGCTATTGTTGTTGATAAGCTGAGTGTACATGTCTCTGCCCCCTTGGGTAGGTTTTCTGGCCTCTGAGCAGTGATCTGTGAGATGGGACCACTGTGTCCACCTATCACCTGCGGTTGCTATGAGGATAAGAGATCCTGAGTATAACCTGCATGGCAGTGCGGGGCTGGAATGGGTGCTTGTTAGATATGAGCACGGGGCTGCCTCGGCCTTGGCCGGGAAGGAGAGAGGAGATGGAGGCCTTGTTCTCTTTGTGATCATTTCAGAAGGACCCTGGGCTGAGCCTGGATGGGCAGTCACTTGAGCTGCCAGAGAGCTGCCTCTGGTGCCCCCTTTCTTTCCCTCGTTCTTGGCAGCCAGTCCGGGCCCTGCATGGCACAGGGAAATTAGGGACCAAGGCCCTTACTTATTTGGTTCAGGCGATAAAAGATGGGCTCTCAAGAAACTAGATAGAGCAAGTAGGAAAAAAAAATAAATAAGTAAAGCTTTCTTATGAAAACACCAAACCGCAGCTGTAATCATCCAGATAAAAAGACCTCAGGTTTTTTTGAGGAGCTGGAGTAAAGGGGGAAACCCTTCGGATTTTTTATTTTTTGGCGCTGGGCCAAACAAGATGCAGATTTCCTGAAGTCACAGTGCTCCCCATCAGCCCAGCCCGGGCCTCTGTGTCCTCCATTTGCCAGCGTTTAGCCTCTCTGCTCAGGCACCAGGCCTAGTCCCTGTGCCCCGGACTCCACTGCTAAGGCCTCTCAGGCGGGTTCCCATCGCCTGCTGCCTGGGGAGCTAGAACCTGAGCCCAGGGCTGCCCGGCGGGTTAGCAGGCCCAACAGCTAGGAGACTCACCTGGGACATTTGCAAACGCGCCTTCGGTTCCCTGGATAAGGAAAAAGAAGAGGTGGAGTGAGTGCCGCCAATAGGCCCCAAGTGTGGTTTCTTCTTCCCTTTCCTGTTTCCTTAGGTTTCTAACTCTTGGGAGCCCAGGTGAGGGCTTCTTTTCCATCCTTCTTGGCATCAATGAAAAGAAAGCAAACTACACTCCCCCGCCCCCCCCAACGCTAACACCAACATTGCAAATACAGATGTGGTTTGCCTCCGTGGGAACCAAAGCCGGGTAGGGGGCCCATGGGGAGAGGGTCAAGGATGAACCTCCACCCCTGGTGGTTTTGACTCAGCCTCAAGGGCACGGGTCCCAGGGCCCAGAGGCGGCCTCGCCCGTGGGCGTTTGTGATAAACCCGGTCAGCCGCTAGGAGATTGGTAGGGATCTGTGTTCCATCAGAACCTTCCCGGGGAATGGAAGACGGGAGGGGAGGGGCTTTCCCCTGTCTGATCTCCAGGGAGAAACGGGCTGTGCCTGGACCTGCGGTGCAGCTCAGAGTCCCAGACATCTCCACCCCACTCCCAGGCAGGGTCACCTCCCAGCAAAGGGTCGCCTCCCAGCAAAGGGTCACCTCCCAGCAAAGGGTCGCATCCCAGCAAAGGTCACCTCCCAGCCAAGGGTCACCTCCCAGCAAAGG